TGGCCATGTTGCCGCCGGGCAGGGAGAGGATGTGGGAGTGCAGGTGAGAAAAGGAGTCGCCCTCACTGTAGGACCCACTCAGGTAGGTGTTCCTGCTGAAAAACACGGAGAGGCGCTCTGCCTCGCTATCCGCCACCTGGGAGGGACAGAGGGAGGGAGGGAGCTGGCTAGACATGTACCAGGCGCTCGCACAGATGCGTCAGAAAGCACTAATAAAACATACAAGCCTTGGGGGTTATATTAAACCCAAGAGCAAGGTACGTGACAATCCCACTCAATCACCCAGTGACAGACAGCATAAGAGTGACAGTCCAAAGTCCGGTGACAATCCCGCTCATTCACCCAGTGACAGACAGAATAAGANATAAGAGTGACAGTCCAAAGTCCGGTGACAATCCCGCTCATTCACCCAGTGACAGACAGAATAAGACTGACATTCCAAAGTCAGGTGACAATCCCGCTCATTCACCCAGTGACAGACAGAATAAGAGTGACAGTCCAAAGTCAGGTGACAATCCCGCTCAATCACCCAGAGACCGACAGAATAAGAGTGACAGTCCAAAGTCAGGTGACAATCCCGCTCAATCACCCAGTGACAGACAGAATAAGAGTGACAGTCCAAAGTCAGGTGACAATCCCGCTCAATCACCCAGAGACCGACAGAATAAGAGTGACAGTCCAAAGTCAGGTGACAATCCCGCTCAATCACCCAGAGACCGACAGAATAAGAGTGACAGTCCAAAGTCAGGTGACAATCCCACTCACCCACCTAATGACAGAACATTACAGACGCTTAACTACCTCACCTTCAAGTAAGGCAGGCACGCAGTCCGGATGCCTTCGATAGTCAGGGCTGAGCGAGCGTAGCCCACGAAGTACGTCTGTTCGGGGAGGAGCCCGTCTCGGAACAGCCACCTGGGGAGGGGGTTGGTGGTGCCAGGGAAGGAAGATAGGTGAGACCAGTGCCAACCTCACCCACAGAATCCACATGACACAGCCCTGAAATACAGTCGTCACTGCAATGTGTCAACCAAGCAATGCATCCGCCATACATCCTCAATGCAGAAGGCGGTGTAAGTTTAGCTTTTACCCATTTATACACTTTCACATTTGAGTGGCGCTCAAAGTAACTAGAGCAGATCTGAACTAGGATCTTGAATCAGCAACATTCAGGGTACAAACCCAGGTCCTTAATCACAATGCAAACTGCTGTTAAATACATACCATAATGTTGGGTATATCTTCTTTTTGGCTAAGTCCCCCTGTAAAAAAAAAAAACACACACACAATATAGTAATACTTTGGTTGAGCTCCCCCTCCCTGGCTAAATCAATCAGGTGTCTTCCAGCTTTTCTGCATGTGTTTCCAGAAGCAGCCGCCTACAACGTCACCTGCCGTCAGTCCTCCAGAACAAATGAGGTCTTATTAAGCGCTAATCCGAACGCATTAGTGCTCTCCCATCCTGTGCTGCGGGCCAAATTCTCCACCAGGGAAGGATTACCCATCAACGTGTCAGCCTCACGCAACTTATTGTCAAGAAGAGACTATTTGTAAGTTTTCGGGAACTTGCCGCCCTTCCGCCTGGTTAGTTAGCGACACGCCAACACTCTTTCGGCAGTTCACCCGGCGTACTGTTGCAAAACAACCACGGGCACTGATAAGGCATGATGGGGGGGTCACAGCACCCAGCGCTTTTAATGGCGCAGAACACGTAAGTCAGCCTGCAAAAGTCCACCATAAGAATGTGCTCCTGAATCACGCTTCTCTATGGAGGAATGAGTCAGACAAATGCCTGAGTTTCCTGATAGCAGAGAACCACACACATACATACACACACACACGCTCTCTCACATCTGTATAGATTTCCGGGTACATACATATATATATACACAGCACACGATTTTTGGTTGCATTCACCGTTCTTTGTGGGGACCGGTAAAATGGTCCCCAAAACGACAAAATAACAGGTTTTTATCACATTGTGGGGGACATATATATTACATACGCTCACACATCTGTATACATATTTTCGCACGATCCGGCGCGTTAAGCAGCATTACCCATCATCCACCGCGCCGAGCGCGCTTTCGGAGCGGCGCTGCACACGCAGCCCGGTGAACTCAGTTATAGGTCGCGCGACCGGCGTTCACTGACGCGATGATCGCGCGGCGATGGGGAGAGGCAACGTGAGTGCGGGCCAAGGGCTTTCGCCACAGCAAAACCGCGGTGCGAACAGGAGAAAAGCTTGCCAAAAGCGTGCCCCACCACGCCACATCAACCCTCCCGCTGGCCTGAATAAAAAACGCTGAATGACAGTGACGCTGCACAAAACGGCCGCGCTCCGCTCTCCGGCAGGGCAAACAAATAAAAAAAAAAACCTTCCCAATACAGTGATTCGATCTGCCAACAAAATGTCTAAATAAGGCGAAATGCATAGACTGTATGATTATGAAAAGCAGGTTGACGGGGGGCGGCGAAGGATTAATATTAGTACTAAAACAAGGAGACAATGACAGTAATGAAACTCAGCAGCTAAATGAAATTCCAAAGAGGGATGGTTAAGCACCATTATAACAGTAAGGAAATGACTGGGGTATGATTCTGGGGCAATAAATATTACCTTATTTGCAATAAATGTGGATGGCTCTCTGAAAAAAGAGAACTCATTTGGAAAAAATAAGACTTCAGCTCTTAATTCATTTCCTCATCTGCCCCCTTACTCAATATTCACACCATTTCTTAAATTTCCCATATCTATCATGCACTCTCTCCAAATATCTACTCAAAACAGTTAGCAATTGTATTAGGGCATCTTGTATACATTGTGCACTCACAGCTTATCTTTCATCAGTGGCTACATAAACACCATTTTGACTCAATCCTGTCCCCCTGACTTGCCTCGATTTAAAGCTTGCTACTGCAAAAAAAAAAAGAATCCAAATCAGGATCCCACAGTTACTCACAGTTTGTACAGTGCCCCTTTGATATGCAGACACTGAGTGTGCAACCCTGCCAACTCACTCTCTCACTGAGAAACATGTTCACAAATCAGGGCCCTTAACATTCCCTCAAGAAAATGCAGAATATGGAAAAAATGCCAGAAAGAATGACATTCCTCCATTTATATAGCAGATACTTTAATCTAAAGCAATTTACAGTTGAGAAAGCAGGGTGAGACAGTCTTGCTCAAGAACTTAATGGTGAAATCACGCTGCCAACCCTGGGATTTGAACCAGCAACCTTCTGGTCATAGGCACAGGTTTCTAACCCACTGAGCCACACATCACCCCTCATAAAGTGTTCATTTGGCTGACCCCAGCCCTCATCACCACAATGCCTCTGCTTCTCTGTCGTTAGGTAGTTTCGGCAGTGCTCCCTAAGAAAGAAACTGGAGCCCGTCGTTCACCTGGGCCATACACAACGCTGAGGATCACGCACCGAAGCACCCATGATAACAAAGACATGGACGTCCGACTGGTGGAACTCTTTGTCTTCATGCAGCTCCTTCCTCAGCTGCCCAAAGACCTCCGATCGGGACAGCGGGAGACTGCTCATCTTTGCTATCTGGCAAGGAAGAGAGAAAGGTGTTGGAGGTGAGGAGGTGACATAAATGCTTATAAATAAGAAACAAAGAAACCTAACAAATCTCAGACAAGTTTGAAGCTGCACTCAACTCGGTCTGTAATATGAGTTTCTGGAAAAACTTGAACCTGGACAAAGCACATTACTGATGTGTTTGCAGAAGACTAGCTAGGATGACAAAGTTGTCAGTGTCTTGCCGGCAAGCATCAACATACATAGAAAGACAGCCAAACAACTGAACAGTCACAAAATAGAGGATCTAACCTAAAATTTATCACAATATTGCGTAATAACGTAATTGAATGTGGAAATAGCTTTCTTACTAATAGCATTATTAAGGTACCTTAGATAAAAATTGATTTATGGTTTTAACGGGGAGGGTGCATAGTTATCTTGCAGCATCTGTTCGAACATGGTCAACTTAGGCATTCATGAAGTGCTTTACAGATGGCTATCGCTACAGAAAAGGAAGCCAACGCATTGAGCCGCAGGAGAAAGAAGTCAGCTAAGACTTCCCCAGACCATACGGAGACAAAATCATCCCTGACATATCGCAATTAAGCGCCTCGATCTGCCATGCATATTATATGCGTGTTTCCCGATAACAGCATATTTCATAAAAAGGTACAATGGGCAGTCGAAAAACAAGGAAATGCTATTATACAAGGAAAAAAGTCAAAAGAAAACAATACATAAATGGCACCTAACAACTCTGACTTTAACGTGAGCGACTGTGTTATACAGTGCCTTAGATAAGCCATAAAAATAGATGCTGTTCTATTGATACAGAATATTCACCGTAATATGCGAAATGTACATATCTCACGAGCAATCTAATTCATATCTGTTATGGCATAGTCTAGTACTTACATCCCGGGAGTTCGTTCTCCGGTAACGTTGGCTGTCTTAAAAACAGAGAGAATAGTAGGTTCAGAACGGCAAATCTACCAAACGCTAAAAAATAGCCGTGAACTTCCTCAGCGCAGCCATCGGTTACTGTGCCTTTAACACCTCCTTATCGTGCTACGGCGACAGCCCATAATTCCGTCACGTTATTGGCTAGTAGCGGAGCACGCCAGCGCGCACTTGCATCATAGAGGCGGATGGCTTGCAAAAAAGGAGGTGGGAGAAAAGGGAAATTAGCCAATCAGAACTCTTTCCGCATTTTGAACGACAAGTCAGTTGACAAATGCCATAGATCAGAGATACTTGGGCTGGCCCCGTTCCAACCAATTTTTACTTTTTATTGATTAATGATTTTTACATAAAACGGCTTTTCCCCCTGCATGTAATACCTCAGACAAAAGGGTTTAGATTACTCATTATCCAGGTAAAACATGTAGATAATAGGTGAAAATTAAGACGTATTATTTATTTATGAACTTTTTAAATTCTTTAAATTTTTCCACGACACAAAACATTCACTAACATAGGACCACTTAATTTAAAGTAATACAAAAAAAGATATTTATACCAAAAGGGGAGTTTGTACATTATCAATCCTAGAGAAGCATACCATTTTTATTATTCTATTATGGTAATTGTTTTTTTGTTACAATAGCCCATGTCCCTTAATCAGTCACACAAATACCGAGTTACACAGTTCCACCTTCGTTCAAAAATGTACATTCAATCGTTCCATTGTATAGACACTTTCCAGTCTATACAATCCAGTCTATGCGGGCCAGTTATTGATGGTGGTTTTTGTTTCCTTCCAGTTTACAGTTACCATTTTCTTGGCAATCAATAAAAATATCCGTAAAATGTAGCTTTGGTCTGAACTATATGCCTCCCTGGGTATAGCTCCCAAAATGAATATCATTGGGTCTAATGGGGTATTCATTCGTTTGTAGGATTTTATCAGTTTCTTCTTTGACTCTTGCCCAGAATTTGGATTATTTGGGTAATCCCAAAATTATACGTATGATCTCCCATTTTTCCACATTTTTTCCAGCATAGTTCCACATGAGGTTCTTTCACATATGAAGAGATTGTAAGAGGTGTATTAAAATACCTGATTTTTTATTTCCAATCTTTCCAATTTGTATATAACTCTTCTCATGTTATCTGTAATTATAACATTTAATTTGAGTTCCCATTTTCCTTAATCTTTCCAGTTCTTCCAAGACGTAAAATCACTATCACAGTGACAGATTTATAATTATACACTCATCAGAGTTCCATCTTATTAATGCTCAGTCCCTGTGCTCATGATCAGAAAATCACCAGTTTGAGCCCCGGTTTCGGCAGAACAGTCACTCTTCCATGGGCCCATGACCAAGACCCTTAACCCTTAGCTCCAGGGGCACCGCACATTGGCTGACCCTGTGACATGGAGAGCAAGGGGTCGGTGAAGAGATGCATTCAATGTACCTGTGCAAATAAAAGCATTAAATTTAATTAAACCCATGGGGAAATTGTTGTAAAGCGTTAAAAGTTGATCACAGACTTTCCTTCACTGTGTTGAAAACAACCCTTTGGTTTCACTATACAGGGAACGGGGGTGGGGAAAATTATTACGAAAATGTATTTCATCATCCATCTGCCAACTAGTTATCCAGTAGAGGTCTGTGGTGGCAGCCGGGAGCCTATCCAAAGAGCACAGCCCCCCCAGGCCAGATACGCAGGAGGAACCCTTATGATGCAGAGGAAACCTCACATGACACAAGAACAACATACAAACTCCAGTTTTTGTATTATTCTACTGCATCCCTCAGCAATGCATTTCACATTTTAATAAGACAAATATTTACTTATTTATATATTTTTCTCACATTTAAAAGTAAAATGGAAAAACAGAATGTGTGTTGTCAATTTTGCAGCACTTATTAATTTCTCAGTGGTGGCTTAATGGTTAGGGAAGCACACTTGTAATTGAAAGATTGCAGGTTTGAATCCCCGACCAGCAAGGCACCACTGAGGTACCCTGAGCAAGGCACAAACACTGCTCTCTGGGTGCTGAATTAGCTGCCCCCTGCTATGTCACATATTGGTTAAATGCAGAGGACACATTTCATTGTGGTGTATCAACGACGACAGTTGATCCCTAAATTCACGTCTGTTATGCATGTCTTGCAAAGAGCCTTTGAGTTAACCATGTGACGCAGCCCTTATCTAGTAATTCTGATAGTTTGTCAGGGATAGATCTTGTGCCCGATTTCAACGTTCTTTCTTTAATCGCATTTTAGGACAAGGAGAACCTCTATCTCAGGCTCCTGCTCTCTGTTCACCCAGATCTGACACTGAGTGACACTCTGGGATGGCATCAAAAACAATGTGGCAGATACTAAACAGGAATGAAATACTTGCAACCATAGACACCGTATTCGTAACGCAACGTAAAACAGCCAAAAGACATGCACTAAATATAACAGGATTAGATGAGGTACGACAAAACCGGCAGCTCCTCTGTTGTGCCAAGCAAAACAACACAGCAGGAGGTACTGAATGAAATCAAATGCTGCATTTTAATGAACCCTTCTGATTGGCTGACAAAATAAGCCAATTTTAGCCTGAGATACAATGGTAGGCTCAAAGTTGGCATTGTATATGGTGCCTGTAATTAGGCCACGTATTTGCTTTCCACATCCATGTCACCTTGTTCTTCTGAAGCTTATTTGGGACTCATTAGCATCCACATTCACAGATCAAACGTTATCAGTTTCTCTAGGCTGCCTAGATGAAATGTGGGGCAAAATCAAAAGGCCCCACCAAAGTAAAACCAGGAACACCTGTTTGTTTTTGTTATTTTTTATTTGCCCGCAGCACGTGACTGTCATTGATATTGGAGGCGTGGCCAAAAGGGTGGGTTTTCTGCCCCGGGGAGCATCCAGCCGGTCTCTTATGGAGATACTGTACTGATCGCTTGTGTGATCTAATTTCACTGGTGCTATCAGCTTCAGTAAAGACTGCCGTTAAGAGCCTCAAGCTGTTTCAAAGCCTCTTTGTAGAAGGGCTATAGCTTCATTGAGGGAGAACCAGCTTTGATGAGTTCCCTTACTGATGTTTTACTGCAAACATTTTTTTTTTAACATAAAAGATCAGCGGGCACTTTCAGGGAATTCTCCAGAAGGACTTTCTGAAGCTTGTTTGAACTGGCCACGTGAAGCTGCTCCTCCAGCACAAGCCCCACTACACCACTCATCGTGCACTCAACAGCATCGCCCCCAAAACCGCGCACACACCCAATATGGGTTACACACCTGTTGCCTGGCAACGAACACTGGCAGCAGGAATGGGGACTGTTTTGCCCTCGATAGCAGTTTCATGCAAACACACCAAGTCACACGAAACAGTGGCACAGAGACAACGAGGGGAATACAGGCGTGTCACCATGTCAAATTGTGTGGAACGCATTAGCTGTAACTGAAGCATGAAATTATACCCCCCCCCCACATTTACTCCCTTATCTTTGAAAGCTGGCATTTAGGCAGTATATTACTTCATCTAAAACTGTTTAGTTACAAATAACTGGATTAAAGTACAGTATGATCAAGTTGGCCCTTGTGATTGACTGCTGGTATTTTTCCATTGGCAGAGCACTGAGAAGCAGCTTAGCTCTTCATACAGCTAGAGACCTAGATCTAAAGTCATAAGTCCATTTTCACAAAGGGTCCCCGGCTGACACTAAGATTACTTATGTTGCTTCTGACTTGTCTCAGGATAAGTTCTTGAATGGAGATGCAGTGTCCAGATCCCTGCACTTGAATCAAATGGGCAGCTAACTGCAGGCAGCATACAGGTCAAGTGAAATCCTTTAATATCCTTAAATATGAACACAGTAAGTTCCATTAAGTGTGCAGAAAGTCACCAATCATTCAGAAACATCCCAGCCTGAATAATACAATGTGCTGCCATTCTGAGGAATGACTCATGTTGTCACACAATGATGTCAGGTGAAAGCCCAGTGCTGGTTGGGGTTAGCTGGGTTGCAGTCAGCCATCATTATGACATCATCCTGCAGAGTTAGGCACAGGCTATAAAATAGATTCACCAACTGTCGACCCTGGGGAGGGCAAGAGATGAGAGGATTAGGAGTTCAGATAAAGTATGAACTTTGTATATGTCTGCAGTATTATGCAAAAGTCTTAGGTAGTCAAAGAAAATGATATTTAAATAATCTTCACGTTGTAAAACAATGATATTATGTCTGTAAAAGCATGTTAGAATAACCACATCAAAACCTCTCCTGAAATCACCCCAGTATTTGCAGCGACTATCCAATATAGCCATGCATTTGTTTGATACAACCACAAGCACACCTCGTACGGCTAATCAACACATCACTGGCTTTTAAAACTGGCTCAATCAATTATTTAAATGGGCTGGTGGTGAAATTTAACAAATGCATGGAATGGCTGAGGTGCCCCTGAGGAAAGGTTTCGGAACTGAAGTGGTGTTCATCTAGCCATCCAGGAAGATATCAGTGACTTTTTGGAGAACTGAGGAAATTCATATTAGTTTACTGTGTTACTCCATATGTTCTAATGCTAAATTGTCATTTTTGTTCTGAGTTAATGTACGCTTACTACCCAGATAAATAGCTTTAAACATTTCCGTTGACTGCCAATCATTATTTTCTGGCTTATTTATAGAGGATGCAATAATATTCTGAGAAACAGACATGATTACTGGATGTGGACTGTTGAACCTACTCAAACTCATGTATAAAGCATTACTTAGGCCTGTTTATTTACTAAGGAGGAAGGAGTGACTTTGCCAACTTCCTCAATCAACCTTCATTGTTCTGAAGCACAACGTGTATCACATGAACCTGGGAATTTTCCAGATAATCCAGGAACAGAATGATTACACCCATTTATGGCATTCTATTTTAGGGATAAAGGTTTTCTCAGAACTTCTGTCGTGTGTGAAGATGCATTGCTGTGGGAGAGACTATAGACTTAGAATGACCCTTGCTTTACTGAGGCTGAGTCAGGATTAAAATGCAGCTAGCTGGTTTAACTGAAGTAAAACCCAGCAGAATTCAATACATAAATGAATATAGACACACACACCATTTTATGGTTAGGCGTAAATGCTAACCTGCATAAACAAATGTTTAGGTAACCTATTCACCAGCACTGATTCATCTTTACAAGGGTATTCAAATCACGGTCCTCGAGGTCCGAGCACTGCTGGTTTTCCAGCCTTCCCTTACCTGTGAGCCAGGTGTGAAGCCTCTGACCAATCAGAATCAGTAATTAAACTAACTAACTGAGAGAACTGAAAACAAGGCCTGGATTTGGAATCAAGGTCCAGATTTGATCTATACTGAAGCTAATGGGAAGCTCACTTCCAACCTCTAATGGCTGACGAGTTTCTACATCTTAGTTAAATTAAAATATTCCCACCCCAGCCAAAAAAGGCAGGGTCCCATATGAATATAAAGTACAGTTTGATACCAGCTTTATCCACAAAGGTTAGCTCACATGCTAAGGACACGTCTTACATCTGTGATACTGACTGAAGCCTCAGGGCGTGACGTACCAGAAACTCCCACACCTCTGTAGGTACCACGCTGGTCCCAGGACCGCTGAAGTGACACGGCTCGATCCGGACAGGCTCTGGCGGTGGCCTTGCCAGCAGACACAGCTGATACTTCAGGTTGTGTTGTAACTCTTTGCGTGAGGTGTACTCAAAGTACTGCACGTGGAGCACAAACAAAGCCTGGGGACTGCAAGGTCATGCCGCTTTTCTGCAGAATTCAACATGCACTCAGAGGTCACTTTATCAGGTAGCCCATTTTGGACTGGGTGAAACCCTCTGTTGCCTCCAGAACCACATCACCTTTCTGCATACCACGGTTCTAAGCAATTATTTTTTTTGCCCTTGCAGCCTTCCTGTTAGCTTTGGCCACATAGTACTTGAACCTCTTTGCTGGTCTGTTCCAGTCATACTTATTGTGTTTGCATGTGCCTGCATTCCTGAGCAGATGTACCTAGTGAAGTGACCACTGAGTACACTTGGATTTACTTCAGAAGAGGTGCTCTTGTAAACATACCTGGTTTCCTCCCTGTTGGTGACATACGTACATGATCACAGCCTTTCCACTCCGGCTACTCTGCCCTGCGTCCAGACAGAGCTGGGAGCCAAAGTTCTTGATCTGCACAAAAAATTGTGTACAACTGATTATTTGCACCATCACCCATAATGTGGCAAGAATGATGGACACCTATGGCCAGTTAACATCTTACCGATCCATACATAATGGGCTCCAGGTCTGGGATGAAGGCCTCGGGGTAGATGTTCTCCAGATACCAGGTGAAGTTTTTGCAGTGTAGCCTGTCCCTTAGTCTCAGGCGATCTGACAGATCACCAAACGTTTTCTGAGGAGAAAGCAAAGCAGTTTCAAACAACATAGGAAAGGTGTAAATTGCTACTCATGTGAACCTACTGTAGAACATTGTCAATTCATCCCCATTCTTCAGGTTGAGATTCACAGGGTAGGAGCAGGCATTAGGGATGGGTATGTTGTTTCTGGGGTCCCATTCAAAAAGTTCAAAAAGTCAGCTGTTTAAAAAAACTAAGTAGCTGCCAAGCAGACTTAGAGGATCATAGCTAGCTAGAGGGTTAGCAGAGCATGCTGCTTCAGCATCTCCTAAATAAGGAACGCATTTAAGATTTAGTGTAGTGACTTTTGTGACCAACAGGGGGCCCCATGTAAATGTGTGGTTTGAATGGTGATAAACACCGTCACAGAGCATGATACAGCAAGAGTTGGAGGGGGAGCTTCTTACCTCCCTGGCAATCTCAGCGGCCTTCCCATTCCTCCTGTAGAAGATCCATTTGTAGTCCCCCATCCATACCTCAGCTAAACGCACTTGGTTTAGCACGATAACCCCAGTGCCTTTGGGGAAGGTATGGGGACTCTTGCTACGAAAGACGTGGCCAACCACTGAGCAGGGAATGATCTCCAGCTGTCCCCCACAGAGCCACACCTGCACATGACAGAGTTAATAAATACAATGCACTTCCTTCAGATTAAAAAATAAATAAAATAAAAATGTGACCCCCACACCCACCCACTTTCCTCAGCCACACATCTCACCCGGAAGGACATTTCCAAGTTTTCTCCTCCCCAAAACTCCATCTTGTCGTCATATCTCCCGATGTACTCAAAGTATGACTTTGAGATGGAGAATAAACCTCCAGCAAAGGTAGGAGACCTAGTACATACAACGCAAGTAAATATACCTCCACACACTATTACACTATATAGTGTTTCTCAACCCAGTTCCCCAGGAGCACCAAACAGTCAGCAAGAAGGAAATGAAAAAGTACACTGTCGGTTCGGGAGTCCCAGAAGACTCGGTTGAGAAACACTAAGTATTTAACACTGAAGAGTGTTCTATTGAGTATTTAACACTCAGTTACAATCACAGAGAAACAAGTTCACAGCACTTCAATAAACCTATATACTGTATTGATAACTGGCTATGAAGCAATGGATGTTCTCTATTCTGGACACTCACTTGATGGGGTAGGTCTCATTCTTCCGCCTCATTTGCTTATGCTTTGGGACGGCCTCCCAGTTGAACGCCAGGTCCCACTCGAAGATACCACGATTGTGGACGTCTTTTTTGGGCATGGGTCTACTCAACTGGAAGTTGTCCTTGTTGATGATGGCGATATCAGGGCTCACCACCGCAGTGGGCTCCTCCACAATGCGGGCCAGCAGGGGCTCTAACCAGCCCTCGTAACACTCACCTCAGAGACAGCAGAGGATGTTCTTACCCACCGCTAGTTTGATTTCAGCTTCCGGGACATTGACACAGTTGCTTTTAAGCTAATCAGCACCATTAGCATTACCATACTGGGTGTCACAATTCATCAATTCTAATTAATTCCCCAATATGATATCGACTCAAATTTTCATTCATATCATTAAACTATGACGATACAACAAAACACTAGCAAAAAAGCTGAAAAAAATCTCACATATAGCAATCTAGAGACTCATCTTAGTGGAGAGTAGAGACCAATATATTACAGTACATTTTATGTAGTCTGGTATACCTGTGTTCCTTCTTTTTCCAGAGTAAGCTATACATATACAGAAGGTTTTGTTGCAAAAGTACAAATAAGAGCTGTAGCGATTACTCGATTACTAAAAAGCATCGATTAAAATTTTATTTCTCGATTATGAAATATGGCAGAAGGAAGACGTGCATAGCATATGAAGGTCCAAATTATTTCATTCGCATTAAAAGTGAATGAAGACGTAGTCGTGCAAGTACTGAAAAGCAGAACTTAAAAACCACCACAGGACGACTGCAATGCAAGTATATCTTAGAAGACATTCGGGAAAACAAACAATCTGAGGTTAACCATAGATGTGCTCCATTTCTCTATCGGAGTAGCCTAGCCTGTTTTTGTCATGACATTAACTTAAATTATTTTTGCTTAATTCACTTTCTACAATTCCTGTGTCAAAATAAATCATTGCTAAAACAAAGGGCAGCCCTGTCACTTAGCCATGTCATCTTACGCAATACAGGGTTGCCATCACTGGTCAGCTGGTTGACATGACATTTTCAATGTGAGACAAGTCTGCACACACACTTACATGTAACAGTTTTTTTTTTATTACCTTGTAAATGTTCTGTACTACTCCAACGCTTTAAATGTAGCTAATTTTAGGTTTATAATGGAATAATATAGATTTGCTGTAAGATTTTTTGCGTGGACATGAGAGTCTGAAAGCATGTAGGCTGTGTCACGCCAGATACGTGAGAGCTGGTGACCCTGTAACACATAACGTGCATGCAGAGGTCATGCGAAAGCAGCGGCAATGAACTTTAGATGAATTTAATTTTAAATATAGGCCTGCTGCATAATTTTGCAAAGGAACCATCATTAAAATAAAACTTATAGTTTCGTTTCCAGTAACTGAGTTATGTAAAAAAAAAAAAGTTATAAATATAAAATATAAAAAGTTTTAGCGCAGCTTATTGAAGGTCTTTCAGATGTGACAGTTGTTTGTTAATATCAACATGGCAATTTATGCACATCACACATTGTGCAAGCCTGTCAGGGTGGCAGAATGGCGTGGTAGGTCGCGGTGTTGTGCCACACCCTCTGTGTGTGTGCGGTCTGCATGCTCATCCTGCGTGGTGCCTTTTATGCGTATCCTCTGGTTTCCAAAAACATGCAACTTAAATGAAATAGTGTGCCCAAACTGACCGTGTGTGTCACTGGGTGTGCACCCTGCAGTGGTTAATTCCTGCCTCGTGCTAATTTTTAATCACTGGCTTGCAAAATCGAAATTATACCACGGTAACAGCATCATCAGATTTATGCACAACCTATCCTAGGCTGTAGCTCAGGGCCCCGAGTTGAAGGGGGCACCAAAGTTTTTTTTCCTGGTTGTCACAGCAGGATTTTATGCTGTAGCAATGGCCCCAACAATAACTTTAACCCAGGGCTAAAGGGGGGTTCAGATGATTCCAAGGGCCCAAAGTGACAGGGGCCCTAAAAATGTGGAGTATAATTTGATTGGAGGCTCAATGATGTGTCATGGCCAACAAAATGTCTAGTGAGAACCCTGGCCCTGAGTATCATGGCTGGCTATTGGACTCTTCCCAAATACGTTACCAACCAATGAGCCTATCCAGCTCTTCCTAGTTTCTGTCTATTTTGGTTAGAGCAGGGATGGGGGACCTGATCCAAGGAGGGCCGGTGCAGGTATTTGGGATGGCCTCTCAATCAGCCGATAACAGTGGGTCCCCAGGACTGGAGTTGAGAACCACTGCATTATTATTGGCTGATTGAGAGGTCACTCAAACCCACACCGGCCCTCCATGGATCAGGTTCCCCACCCCTGGGTTAGAGGTTCCAGCTGATTGAAGGTCGAGGAGGAATGACGAGATCGAAAAGCGAAGGACCACCCCAATGTCAAGGTCCATCTGCTGAGAAACTCACAGTGGGCGTCTAGGAAGGTGAGCACCTCAGCACGGGCCTCGCTGGCCCCCAGCAGCCTGGCCGCTATCAGGCCCTTCCTCTCCACCTGCCTCAACACCCGCACAATCCTCAGGGGCCGCACGTGTTCTTCCAAGCGTGACCTCAGGTGCTCTGGGACAAAGGAGAACACACACCAATGTGCCACTGAAAGTAAAAAAGTAACTTTCAAAAAGAGAAAAAAGTAAATCACATAAACCACAGTGTAATTTTAAAACCGCATTAAATTATATTAGTGGTTTGACATCAAAACGAACAAGAGCCCAAAGAAATGTGAGAAGAGCTTCTGAGCAGAGAGTGAGACTACTTTGAACTGCATTGTACTGGTCCCTATCAAGAATGACTGACAATACACGATAATCCCAACTGCCTTGGGTGCATATTTAGTAGATGCCATTATCCAAAGTGACATGCATTTTTTTTTTTGACAAAGCAGGGTCAGACAGTCCCTGGAGCACTTGAGGTTAAGGGCCGAGTTCAGGGGCCTAACACGCTGCCTACTGTGGGATTTGAACCAACGACCTTCTGATCACAGGCACAGCCTCCTAATACAATCATCTACATCAGGGGTGAGCAATCTTATCCGCAAAGGGCCAGTGTGTGTGCAGGTTTTTGGGATAACCTGTAGGTCAGCTGTTCAAACCCAGGTGTGGAGACCCTTCAGCCAATCAGTCCTCCAATTAGTAATCTTATTAGGGAGTTGCAGCGAAGACCCGCATACACACCGGCCCATTCGGGAGAAGACTGGTCACCCCTGATCTACATACTGCCACACACACACCCTCACTTCTATTACTTCTGACGTCTGTTTTGTGTGTTACGGATATGTCTGAATGCCCACCACACTGATCTAGGGTCAGTTCAGCATTGCCCATCATACCTGCAGTGCTCGCATCGTCCACCAGGAGGATCTCCTTGAGAAAGGCCACTGGGGCTGTGTGAAGAACACTGTAGACCGTCCTGAGGAGTGTAGACCAGGCCTCATTGTGGAACACGATGATCACACTGGTGGAGGGCAGAGGAGGGCAGCGCCGGAACGTGCGCCCAACGCAACTAACCAAAAGAATGCCTTGTAAGTATGCAACTAGAATTTATTGCGTTTGACAACAAAATTTTATCACTGCATTGCAGTTGACAGCCGTTGTCCCTGAAAAGGTTTTTATGGCTGAAAGTTAAAATGAAAACCAGGAAATATCACATCACCAAAGTTTACTATTGACCTTCCATAACAATTTATTCTGTATGAGAGACACAGAAACCCTGAGCCTAGTCCAGGAAGCAAAGGACACGAAGTATGGTACCCTATGGGCTGTCCATAACTGACCTCAAACTTGCACACATAATATGGGCAACTTGGAGGAAAACACCAAAATTGTTTTCTAACACAGGGTTTACCCAATCCATGTTTTTGGTCAGTGGGAGTAGGCTTTGGTGGTATTAGGGTATACTCTGGTATTTTAACATCTTGGGGTCAAACTCAGCTGAGTCTGGAGGGGTAGGGGGGTTGCCGTTCAGAGAAATATTTTGTGGTGAATTGTACGGTCACTGGATATACAGTGTACTGGTATAGCGGCATGAAAAATTAGGTATCGTCCAAGCCTGAGAGGGGAAAAAAAACATGTATGAGGGAAATATGTCAGCTCACAGATCTGGAGCAGAAATCAAAGCCAATCTGGGGCAGGACGAAATATATCATGCACTCTAGTGTGCAGCCAGTGCCATCATGTTTTGAACACAACCCTCTTTCACACTCCAGAAATGTACTTTCCAGCATGTTCCACAGCAGACATGACTCACTCTGGGTGGCGGGTGTCCTCGCCCAGGCTGCGGTGCACAGAGATCCGGTCACTGGCAAACTGGTTGAAGCAGTTTTTCCTCATGCCCTCCTGCATTTCCACCTGCTCCTCCGGCGTCATTTTGCCCATCACAAAGGCCTTCCCATCAGCCCCTGGGGCAGTAGAGTTTTGAAGGGGCCTCTGTAGGTGGGGCTTCAGCTCCTCGGGACTGTAAAACCCAGGGAGGCAGTGGCTGGCTGGAGTAATGTGGGTCCTCACCATCGGGGGTAGGGGGCCGCTGATTTGTAAGCCCATGTTGCTGATGTCACCTTTGATCACCCCCATTGTTGGTGCCTTGTACACAAAGCCATGGAACCTGGGACCCCCTGCATCCCACTGCATCAGCAACAGCACCAGAAACAAGGTACCAACTAGCAGAAGCAGCCTGATGGCAGTGGCTGCGTGACACGTGACCACGCGCATGTCGCTGCGCAAGATCACGGTGGACTGAGGGAGGGAAATAAAAACATCAGTATATCGAAGTGTATTATAATGAAAGAGCCAAGAAACACTGACTGCGAGTTGGAGGTTAGGAATTGCTTGGACAATAAGTTCTCAATTTTCAATTTGTCATTGCAGACATTTCCAAAGGTGCGATTTTAATTACTTTGTTTTGCGGTATAGGCTATAACGCAAACCTTTGGGGGTGGGCGCCTGATATCCTGGGGGCAGTAATAAAAAATATCACTGAAATTACTTATACATTTACGACACCACCCTTGAAAGCAACAAACGGTTGTTATGTTGTGGCCATAATTGGGAAAGTGAATGCAATGAACCATGGTGAAAAATTACAAACTAAAATGTGCCCAAAAACGGTATTATATGAACATTTTTCTTGCTAAGCAACAGTAAGAGTGCATAGTAAGCATTTTCAGGAAAACTTTAAGTACATTACACTTAACTATGGATTTTTAAAACATATTAAAACACGCTTTACTTACCGGGCAAAACACCTCGACTCAATTAACCACTTAAAACGCTACGGTCGGCTCGCCTCTCAGTCACTATTAATAAAAGTAATAATATTCATTTAAAAGCAAACAGCAGACAACTGATTAACAAACTGTGGTGCGAAAATCCACCACTGCACTGACCACAGAACAGTCGCTGCATGGGAGCGCCGCAGCTGCTATTAATTACATTTAAATAACCAAAGATACGGACATTTTCACGTTTAAATAAACCGTTTAATATTACAAATATAAATTTGATTAACAGTAGATCGTCAGCATGTAGCCTACGTTAATGTTTTTTTTTTTTACATATTATTTAACATGTTTCCTTTATCTGGTTTAATTTTGCCGATATTGCTCGTTTAATTTCTAACCTAAGGTTCACAAATATGCAATGCCACAATTACCTCAAGGACTTTATTAATAATAAATACCAGAAGAAAAATATTCTCTGCTGTCTATATCTTGTAACTCCATAAATATTCTCCTGGGAAACCAGTAGCCAACGGTACATTATTGTTTTGCACTGACTGGGATAATCAATCCATCGATCTATATCTATCAACCTATAACTGCTATTCCAAGAATGAGCGACTGAAACATATTCAGTGTTATAACGACATCTTTTTCGTTACATTTCGCAGTTACCAACAATTAACCCACTGATTTCACGATACCGTATACTGTATTGGATTTCAGTCTTATTCATAGATTGGCAGAGAAAGACGTGCCGTAGATAGGAGTTGCATGTTTGCAGTGCTTACAGAGTTAAAAAAATATATTTCAATATGCTAGTTCTGGGGCGATGGTGGTGCAGGGGGTAGTGCTACCGTTTAGCAACCGGAGGGTTGCAGCCCTGGGTCCTCCTGACCCTATCGAAGTGTCCTTGAGCAGGACACTGAACTCCACATGCTCAGTCCTTGCATGGCAGCCTGGTGTATGAATGGGTGAATGTGAGGCATATCTGTAAAGCCCTTTGAGTGCTCGAAAGAGTAGCAAAAATGCGCTATATTAATGCAATCCATTTAATCCATTATTTAGTTACATGGTATCAGGAAAGCTGGGCGACACTGCGGCTCACTCGGCAGCACTGTCACCTCACACCTATAGGCTTAGGTTTTGAATCCCGCCGCTGATCTCCGCTTGTTGTCCTCATGTCACTCCCGTTATCTCCAGCAGTGCAAAAAACATGCCCTGAGGTGAACTGTGCGCTTTAATATAGACCGGCATCCCGCCCAGAGTATTTCCCTGCTTGGTAATATGTGATTTCTGGTGCAGACTCCTTGAAAGTAATGAACGGTTGGAAGACGGATGGGTGAGTGATATATTAATATTAAAGGCCTTAGATTCGATATAGGCATATGCATCTCATAGCGTAGATTATGTGGCTCCGTCACATCATGTACTCAATAAATATCGATATAGTGCCAAAGTATCTAATAATTATAGGAAATCATGCGTATCAGATCATTACAGCAACACGCTGTGCAATTTTCAAGTGTATCAGTGTTATTTTAACTATAGCGAAAGTTAGATATGCTTAAACGACGCTAGAGTTACCGCATGCAGAGCCACAAGTAAAAAAGAAATTCAAAAAAGTACAAAATAAAATGATAGTTTTGCACCACTATCGAAATGACAAGTCCCTGTCGCATTGGCAGCTGGCTACGGCCCAAACAAACCGCGTCTCGGCGGTGCGGCATTCTTGGCGATTGATGAACGATGGCCCTCTCTGGGATCACTAATGTCGGTCACCAGCACCCTTTGACGACTAGGACCTTACAGTATGATCAGATAAATACATTTTTAAAATTCAGATTCCCTGCACCGACTACACGCAGCGTTTCTGCCTGGGAAGTCAAGCCGAAAACAGACCTTTATTTCAGAAAGGAGAATAGTGAAATAGTGAAATGCGCTGCCTTCCGAACTTTCTAACGGCACTCCACTATATTTAATAAATTATAACACAGTAGGCCATTAAATGTTCGCATTATTTATGGATTTAGAAATTAACTGAAAGCTCGTTTAATTATTATTCAGCATTGATCGGATATTAATTAGGCCTGCATAGTGTCGCTGTTACCAGCTTCACATTTTAGGATTGGCGTAGTTCTCTTTTTTTTTTTACAAATAAATTAAGCAAACTTATTTCCCCTGAGTCTAGGTAACTAGCTGAACTAAATATTGTGCGACCAGCGAGATACGGTATCAGTAATGAGACTGTTAGCTGAATGTTATTGAATGACTGTTAATGTCACCCATTTATCGCTAGATGAAGTCGATTCGAGGATTTCACGGCAAAGCCCAGAGCCTGTACGTCGTACCCCCCGGAGTGCGGACATACACCGCGGCAGCCTGGAGAAGTACAAAGAAACGGTCAAACGGGCCCAGACGCCGAGATGTAGGCCGAAGTGTTGATCGTTGCACTATATAACCGTGAATCTGTTTCAGTGTGTTAAACTGTCAAAAACTGGACAACAGAACAAAGAAATAACGGGTCAATACGTAAAAATAACATCAAATACAGTCGAAGTGTCTTGATGACCCATTAACTTTAAAAAGTTTCAAATGTTCTTCTCACTTTGGAAGACTACTCATTTACACGTGAATGCGAAGTCAGGATAGGATGCATATGGAGGTATCAATCAGGCTTCTCCGATTTCCAGCCCCAAATGAGTTAAACCGAGTCCCACCGACAGACAATCAGCAGTACGGATGGTGGCTGCCTGCCGACGTGAGACTCCGTGCTGGATGCGCGTTAAACGATTCCCCCGCAAGGACAGCGACATGACCAGGCCCATCACAAATCTCCATAATACTCCGTTGTAGTTTTTTTCTGAGTTGCTAGTATATTAAAAAAAAAGATGTTCAGTGGCCAGAACTTAAACTGAACTGAATCACAGATGTTCCTAAAGATGAAAAAGTCGATGAGTGATTAGAACCGAGAATACTTGCCCTATGGGAGTGCAGTCCACCTCGGATAGGGGCGGTGAATTTCCATCTCAGAGTATGAATGGGTCACAACAGGGAGAGCACAGTCTGTTCTCTGTCCTGACCCAGCCCTGAGACATGATGATGAGGCAGAATGAAGATCTTTCCTTGACCTTGGCTTGGCCGTTGTACATTTTACTTTTTTGTTTGTTTGCTTGTTTTTTTCCAATTTTTAATTTGTCCTTTACAATAACTTTTTGGAGAGCTGAATACTGTAGGCATTACAAATTTTTCATGTGTAGTCGTATACAAGCATTTTTGCTAAACAAAATTTTTTACTGTATTCTTGTACAATTGCTTTCCAGTTTTGCAATCATCATGCACAAGATCATATCCCCAATAAACATGTTTCTCCACATGCCAGGAACAGTTTTGACAGGTACTGCTTTCTGTTTTTTGCTGTAGCGTGTATAATGACTGATCAGGAGTGTTTATGTACTGATTGGCTTTATGTATGATCTGAAAGCAGTGTTTGGTTTTGACCAAAGATAAAATAGTTTTGAGCGGATTGCTAGATTTTGCAAGATGAGTCAAAGGTTTTGTGAATGTAGATTGAAACTTGCAATGGGTTTTGTGTTTGTTTTGGACGGAAAGTTTCAGGAAATGTGCTTCAGGAGTTCAGAAAAACTGTAAATGCCTTCCCTAAGTGAATTAGTAGCCGTTGTCCTTTGTGTTTTTTTTCCTGAATATTTAGAAATACTTCCTAGTTTATGTGTCTGAGGATCTCTGCTCAGCCTTGTCAAAATTAACATACAGTCCTGAACTTTCATATTGTCATGACCTGCTCGTACGATCCTCCTGTGTGCCACGCCCCCTCATTTACCTCGTGTGAAACCCCGCTTGTGACAAGCTGTTTCCTGTTATTTCGGCTTGTCTTGTGTATTTCAGTCCGCGTTCAAGTCTGTTTCCCCAGGTCTGTCATTAACGTGTATATCGTGTCTGTATGTCTACCTGAATTAAACACCGTTTCTACACTTTTGCCTGCTTGGTTGTGATTCCCCGCTTCCTGCTCGCTGGCATTATATATACGGTCATCACACATATCACAGAGACAGTCATCAGGGTCAAGGATACGGTCATCACACATATCACAGAGACAGTCATCAGGGTCAAGGATACGGTCATCACACATATCAACATGTCAAATATTGTAGTTTTAGGATTTGACAACCAAATCTTTAAAATGTATGGGTCTATTTCTCCTTAAAGTAAATGTTTATACAGCTGTTTTGATTCTTTTTTACATATAGATAGACGGGCGTGTGTGGGGCCCGAAAGTGCTCACTTTTGAGGTTCACCAAGGGGGATACACACCCCACCCCGGTCGGCCAAACTTACCAAGGGTGACCCCCCCAGTCTACAAAATTGACCTTGTGCCACCCCTGTACTGCTGATTGTCTCAGTGGGACTGCCTCTCAAAACGTCTGAAAAATTATACATAGTAACTTCTATCGGAGGTGGACTGGCAATACAAAGCAACCTGGGAATTGATTGAGGGGGTGGCCCTTGGTATATTTTGCCTATTGCGTATTGCGATCAACCGGTTGGCCACCAATTATCCATTAATTCCACTGAGCAAGATCAACCCATGTGTCGGGCACCCCTGGTGTACAGTATAGGCTACATAATTCCAGGATTGGCCCACACGGGGAATTCCCGAACTTCTGGATGGCCAGTCCACACCTGATTTCTAAGAAATACCAATAGGAACTAGCTTAAAAATAAACCTGCAATTTTCAACCACCTTTTCTTTTGCATTGTGTTTAGTTTTTTCACCCTACAAGTGCCTTTTAATATAAATCATAATAACACGTCTTAAACCAAGCCGCTTCTAAGTCATGTTAACTCCGTAACACAGAGCCTTTTCAGCGGAGACGCACAGCTGTCTCCATGGTTCTCTTCGTTTTCCCAGGTTTGTGAAGGAGATGTCCATGATTGACCGTGAGTTCGGCCTCTTCTGACCCCTGCTGGCTGTGCCGGGCCATGCATCCATATCGATGCGAATCAGGGGTGAGTTTCCCGAAGCGTTCTTAACGCTACGTTGTTCGTTAGTTCTATCTTTTAACACAGAACTTAAGAACGACGTAGCGTTAAGAACGCTTCGGGAAACTCACCCCAGATCTGTAAGTCTTCCTCAGCCATTTTCCTTAAATTCAAGTGCTGCCCATAGACAATGC